GATGAATGGATGGATGAGTGGATGGATGGATGGATGGATGGATGGATGGATGGATGTGTGGATGGATGGGTAGGTGAATTAATGGATGGATGGATGGATGGATGGATGTGTGGATGGATGGGTAGGTGAATTAATGGATGGATGGATGGATGGATGGATGTGTGGATGGATGGACGGGTGAGTAGATGGGTAGATAAATGAATAGATCAGTGAATGGATGGATATGTAGTAGAGGCTGGATAGGTGGGTGGGTTGTTCCTTGGGTAGATGGGTGAACGGGTGGGTAAAGTTTAGGAGTGAAGGTAGCGGTTCGGGATGCTCACCGGGCTGGGGAGGGGATTTCTTGGCGGGAGACGAGTATGTTCTTTGGCTAAGGAAAGAGGCTAATCGGTGGGGTGAGGGTGCAGAGGAACTAAGACTCTGAGATGGGAGGCTGGCAGGAAGTGTACCCCACCTGTCTCAGTCCCCAGAGCCCCACTCTCAATCGCTGCACCCACATCCCACTCGGGACATGGGGGCTGGAGGGGGCTGATGCATGAGAGGGCAGGTCTCTGGGATTAGGAGCCACAGGCACCAGCCTCCTTCCCCTCCTGTGCAGCGGGCAAGTCCCTTCTCGCTCTGAGGCTTCTGGCATTTCCTGTCGGCTGCCTGAGTAACGGCTGTATCCCCGGGGAAATGACGCAGGGCTTGTTATCAGTGACCCACATTTCTTAGAAGAGAGCACAGGAAGGCAGGAGGGCTCGGGCCTCTGCTGTGGAGTGTGGGGGTGGAGGCCCAGCCCTCGCCTTGGGCCACACACAGCGGGGATGGCGTTGGCCGCTGGACGTTCCCCTGGCCACAGTGCAGCATCCCCATTTCACTGAGTTGTGCCGATGGCCTGCAGTTTCGCCTAGGACCTAGGTCAGGGGTGGGCAAACTTTTTGACTCGAGGGCCACAGTGGGTTCTTAAACTGGACCGAAGGGCCGGAACAAAAGCATGGATGGAGTGTTTGTGTGAACTAATATAAATTCAAAGTAAACATCATTACATAAAAGGGTAAGGTCTTTTTTTGTTGTTGTTTCATTCATTTCAAACGGGCGGAGCCATAGTTTGCCCACGGCTGATAGCCAATCAGCCGGAACCAGGGCAGACACCGGATGTGTCTGACCTGCTGGCCTCCACCTTGAGGGTAGCAATCAGACAACCCAGTGCAGTAGAAGTTCAGGAAAGTCCCCTCTCCTCTCTGTACCTCAGTGTCCTCATGGGTGTCGTGGGGGCGCGGGGGGTTGAAATGCAATAACACATAAGAGGTGTGGGCCCAGGGCCTAGCTCAGCCTTAGGCAAACTACGGCCTGTGGGCCGGATCCGGCCCTCCGGTCCAGTTTAAGAACCCATTGTGGCCCGCGAGTCAAAACGTTTGGCCACCCCTGGCCTAGCCCCTATTCTTGCTGTTCGTCATCTTGATGTTGGCACATCTCAGATGTGATGGGACCTGGGGGGCCACGGTGGGGGGTCCTGATTAAGCCCGAGCTCTGAAAAGGGGCGATTCTGGTAGGATTGTTGACGTTGGGGGCCAGAGGTCAGAACGCAAGAAGTGGATCCACTGCTTTGAGAACGTGATCGCCCTCATCTACCTGGCCTCGCTGAGCGAGTACGACCAGTGCCTGGAGGAGAACAACCAGGAGGTGAGGGGCCGCTGAGGACGGGGGGCGCCATCTTCTCTGCTCTTCTCCCCCCCTCCGCCCCGGCCCAGGGACCCACAGGAAGCCCCAGGTCCACTCTGGAGCCGGCCTGTGTGTGTCTGGGGTGGCTTAAGCCTCACCTTCCACTCTTTCGTGATCAGACCATTGAGCCCCAAGACTCAGATTCACAAGCATCTGTGTTGCCAACAACACTCACATGTGATGTGTGCGCGCACACACAAACACGCACACACACACGTGCGCGGATGTTCATGTCCTGCGTGTCCTGAGACATGCCCCCCCCCCCCCCGGAAGCACACACACACTGTCCTGGAAATAGTGTCACACTGCAGTGACAATGTCACGCTGCTATCCAGAAATGCTGGTGAGGACCAATCTTCCTTTGTCACCTCTCCTCCTAATTACACCCAGCACGATGGCGGGCACACTGTTACCTGACATGTGCATGTTCGGTGGCTCAGTGTCACAGAGGCCGTTTGGGCCTTCGAGAGGGAGATGCTATCATTTTGACTTTCAGGTTGAATCAGACAGAACCAGCCTGAGGTTGCTCTGACATAGCTCTCGCCACCTGACCTGTCCTAGTTTGCTGGGGCGGCCGTAACCAATGACCACAAACCGGGAGGCTGAGGGTTCTGGAGGCAGAGGCTGAGGTCAAGGTGTCGGCGGGCTGGTCCCCGGAGGCCGTGGGAGACTCTGTCCCAGGCTCTCCCAGCTGCTGGTGACTCTGGAGTCCTTAGTGTTCCTTGGCTTGCAGATGCATCAACCCACCTCTGCCTCGGTCGCCACACGGCATCCTCCCTGTATGTGAGGCTGGATCCAAATTCCCCCTATATGGGGACATCAATCATTAGACTTAATGCCACCCAATTCCAGTATGACCTCTTCGTGAATTCCAGGCCCTGCTTCCAAATAAGGTCACAGGCTGAAGTTCCAGGTGGACATGAATTTGGGGGCGGGGGGGAGGCACCAGTGAAACCAGTTGAGGCACAAATCCATGCTGGGCACACATAGGCAGCCGGCCACACCTGCTCAGACCCATCTCCACGTAGAGGGAGGGCTCCTGTCTGGGCCGAGCTGGCCGATCTGAGCGATGAACCGCCTGTGTTCCCCAACCCAGAACAGAATGAAGGAGAGTCTGGCCCTGTTTGGCACAATCCTGGAACTGCCCTGGTTCAAAAGCACATCTGTCATCCTCTTCCTCAACAAAACCGACATTCTGGAGGAGAAGATCCCCACCTCCCACCTGGCCACCTACTTCCCCAGCTTCCAGGGTGAGTTCTAGAACCTTCTATACCCTACCCCCCCCCCCACAAAAAAGAAGCCCACG